AGACACTTTTGATGTGTGTAGTTTAAAATTAATGCACCGTGTAAACTAAGCTAATTACGAGAATAATAATAATAACAGTACTATTATGACCTTCTTTGACGCCGCCTGCTTCGTATAGCTGGCCAGCTGGCGGACTGACAGACGGTCTATTTGTTTGAATTAATACTTCTTTCAATTAATAAATAAAACAATATACATATATAATCTCAACTACAACTAAATTATCGAATGGCTCAACGTGAGTATTCTTACTAGTATTGCGAAATTCAAGCAAGCGATCGTCGGAAGCTTCAACGAGGCACTTGAAGATCAACGGAAGGGCGCGGGCGCAACAGACCGGGCATAATTCCTCATTGTTTACAACTAGCTTAGTTGGACAAACTTGACTTGGGTATTGTGGACTTAGTAACAAGCGGAGCAAATTAATTTTTAATACTTAGTACGATAGGACCAGTTAGGGAGCGCGGACTGTAGTTTGATGTAGAACATAAAGATATTAGGTACGGAGCACACACATTACATGGTACAAGGAGTGTAGAAGAAGTGGACGGGTTACCATATTCTAACATGACAACGGCAGCCTCAGCTTGAAACAACATTGTGTGTAAATAGTAATTCAAAATATTTACAATAATAAGATACATAATAACTAATCTTTATTACATTCTCGTATTTTCCTTGACCAAATGTGAGATATCAGATTTTGTAGCGTGTGACGGTAATTTGTTATACTAAATAATTAATTCCGCGTAAACGTACCCAAAAGGACGATGACCCGCAGATGCCTGCTGATAGTTGCGTTAATTGTCTACCATAATTAAAATTTGGTCGGAGTAGTCACCATTCAGGGGGAAAAATCCTAACATCGTACTTTCGTAAAACGCGTCACCGCCATCTAGCGTCTTTTAAGGAAACTAAGAAAAGTTGAATTGGTTGTGAATTGCATAAAATAGGTTTCTAACAGAAGTAAGTATTTATGTAAACCGCATGGTGTCGTCAACTCAACGGTCTCGGGTTCGATTCCCGGCCGGATCTTTGTAAAAAAAATAACTTTTCTGTATTATCCTGTAAGACTCGTCTTGTTGTTTATGGTACCGTCGTTATTTCCGATTTTCATAACACAAGTGCTTTTACTACATTGGGATCAGAGCGACGTATGTGGTCTTGTCTAATATTAAAAAAATATCAATTTTCAGTACCATAATATTCATTTAGGTAATGAAAAAAGAACGCAAAGTGATATTTTTCCTTAATGGAATGAAGATCGTTTTATTTTGTCTGAAAACCATCTGAAAACGCTACATCGTGTACACTGTAACCCCAATCCAACATTTCCATAGAATGAAAGACGGCCGGATGCTATGATCCTGTTGTCTTTTTCGATTGGAGTATCGACAATCGACAGTTTAGTTCTGTTCGCGCTGCGCGTACGCACACGCCTTACTGCGAGTGAGATTTTAGTAACGTTAAACTTGTTTGCTTGGCAATGGTTTAGAGGGATTGTAAACTTTTAGAATATACTAATATTTATTTTCACTTTCGCTTTTGTCATTTTATAGAGCTTTAGCACGTTCTAGTAACTTATATTCAATGAGAAATATGTTGAAATTAATTGACAATACACCATCAATAATAAAATAACGAAATTTAACACGTTCACAATCTATGACTCCACCTGCAGTGCTAAACTAAAGCGCGAGATTTTTGTTTATGACACTAACTGGTGGGACGAACTAGTCGTGCGTCTGGTGATAAGCGACACGCCTGTACATAACAGTTGAACTGCCGCTCAGAGCTTTAAATCGCTAAGATCTGAGGGGCACTGCCACTGCGCCCATCCCCCTGAGACATTATTAACCAGCACCCTTCAAAACCGGAACGCAGTAATGGTGACATGACTGCTTGACGGCAGAAGTAGGTAAGATAGTACTTCCCTGGACGAGCTCTTTCGCAAGGAGTTGTGCTCTTACTAAATGAACACATGAAATATTTCTATAAAAACATACATCTTTCGTTGCACCTTCTTACGTAGTCTAAATTTCTATCTTAAGTTATCTGGAAGAAATTGCTACTCAGCAATGAAGCCGCCTGGTATACATCCATTAGCTAATTCTATCATACTCAAACTATTTTTCTGTGTAGTCATTCATAGTGATTTACATTCCAACATGAAACATCAAAATTGATAATCGAATTATGTAAATTAGAATTTTTCCGTCTAAACCGGAGCTCCAATTCGCGACAATGCGAATGAATAGCATGTGTTTAATTATAAAATCATCAATCAATTTTACAAAAGTCTAATATATTCCCTCCATAACATAACCAATCAAGCAGCAGAGGTGTTAATGAAGCCGTGGATTTACATTAATCATGGGTTTAAAACTTCCAACCGGTCAGTGCCGCATTCTTAACATTTATTTATTTTCTTTAAATATTTATAAAACCCAACATTTTATTATCAAACTGTGACCTCAAAATTTTCAGTGTCCGCAGAATTATTTAGTGCAGATTTATTTTGATTTATTTATTTATGTTAAACGAACGTTTTGTAATTCGCATAAAATACAAATTCCAACTAAAAAATTTAACGTTACATGGAACGGGACAAATATACGCGACTGTTATCTGAAAAATAATTATTATAATAAAGTACCGGACAACCTTTGCCCGATCTCAAACTAGGGAATTTCCTAGGTATATTTTGAGTGCTAGAGTAATGGTATTCACTTTGGGGCACTTCCCAAAACACTCAGATCAGAACCAATTTGAGGCTATCGGCGCAATAATGGCGTAACCCACATTCAATTTTCTTTCTGCAATAATACTTTAAATTATACTAAAGTACATAATTATTTTATATTTATATTAAACTCAATTGTCAGTCAGAACTGACTTGTGTTATGTATAACAGGCATAATTGGTCAGGCGTGAAGAAATGACGCACCTTATTCAGGACTCCGAGTTTTCGTGAAGCTGTTTTAATTACCGTTTCGATGTAGATCCTTGGGTTCAGATCGCAGCAGATCTCCATACCAAGCAAGGATAGCACAAACTACACCTATACCCAGCAGTGGGCAAAATCGGGCTGTGGATTTACATTATTGATGATTACGGTATAATTTTCCTTCCCATCTAAATTCTGACTTTTAATTAAACATAAAAAAGATTAACAGACATCTAATTAATAAAAAGAAATTTTAATCGTGTACGTTTAAGATATGGAATTAACAGTAAATCGTGGTTTTATGTAGAGACATAAAAATGAACTTAGAAGTTCGTACCTCGAGATTTACAGCCCATAAAAATACAATTGCGTTGGAAAGATTTTGCCATTCTACTAAACAAACAAGCTTGGAATAAAACAATTATCCTTTATTAAAACATAAAACTGCAGTTCAACCAACTACAAATAAAATTTTAGTTACGGTTGATATTGTTATTATTGCTCCTTCAACAATAAATTTGTTATTAAACAATAATACTATTCTATTGTACTGTATAAGAATTACGACGTTTCGATTTTGCCGGGTAAGGGCGCTGAAACATAGGAATTGTCAACTAACGTCTCAGAATGACGGGCGCAGTGGCCGTGCCCCTCGGATATTTGCGATTTAAAGCTCTGACTGGCACTGCTGTGGACAGACGTGTCGCTTACTACCAGGCGCACGACTTGTCCGTCCGTCACTTAGTGTCATAAAAAAAAAATTGTAGTTTTCCATTGGCCTACTGGAACAATCGGCAGAATGAGTGGACTATTCTTTGTAATAAGAGGATATTTTTAGTACTGAAAGGAGTCTTGTCAAAGTAATTGATGAAGAAGTTTCTCCAGTGTCAATTTTCTTTTCAAACTTTGATTACGTAAATATTACATTAGATAAAATTAGATAGATAGATAGATAGATAAAAGCTTTATTCACCACCATGACATCAGATACATGATATAGGCATTAACTTATATGTATATAACAATAATGATATTCTTATCTACTAATATTACACTTAGAAGTCATGGCAGTGAAAAAGGCGCTGGCTCAGCATAAATGACGCGGCTGCCCGCGACGCTGGTATTCTGCCAGGACCCTATAGGATAGAGACGCCACTCGCAATCCAACAAAAATCTGATATAGAGATTTCAGATTGTGGGAAAATAATAAGATAGTGTGCAATGTCTTGGGGTGTTTGTTCATCACAGATGTTTTTAAGTGTATAAACAATTTGTATGTTCTATTGGACGTGGGCGGCGAACTTTGTACACAGCAATACCCATTCCTGTTCCTTATCAAACTATAATGTGCCATCGCACGTAAACATTGCAACTTACTTGTGGACGACCTTAGCTGAGTAAACCCACAACAAAAACATTACACGCCATCAGAGTCATAGAACTCCATACAAAATACTATCGTTTTCTCTCTCGCGACCGCAAACGGCCGTGAACCATGACAATGGCGCTCGATGGCGTAAACAAAGTTTGTATGGCGCCATGCAAGTATAAAATTCACACTTTTTTATGAAAATTGCAAGCATGCATTGATATAACGTTGTGCGTATGTAAATAATGATTAAATTACACTATATTTTTTATCATTAATAACAGATGCGTAGTTTTAACAAGATATTTCTTGATAATACATATTTCTATGTTTTTTATTTCACGTATTATTTTATACTTTAATGACTTTTCCCCTTGAGAAAATGTAAATTTTAAATGTAAATTATGATTTTATAGACAAGTAATAAAACCATGAAATGTTGACATAGCGTCAATAAATAATATATTTTATTAACTTTCTAGATGACAGGATAACAATTATATTTTACACGCGTCACTGTGCCATACAAAAGTGAAAAAATGTGAATTTTTAATCGATTATTTTTATTTTACCGTTTCAAAACATGTATGTCTTTATTAAATATTATGTTCAACTTGATTAAATTTGTACCTATTTATAAGAGTGATCGACGTATTTGTATTTAAGATTATTTTCTTTTGTCAGAGTGATGGAGTGAGCGGTACGTGTGTGGTTGCGCGGGCGCATGGGTCTGGCCGCGGCGCTGCTGGAGGCAGCGGCGCGCGGCGAGGCGGCGCGGCTCGCGAGCTTGTTACGCGCGGACCCGCAGCATGTCGACGTCACTGATGAGGTACTTTTATTCTGACCCTCTGAATGATCAACTACGATTGTTTCCATGCATAGCTCACTCTGTGCGATGGGAACGGGTTGAATGATCGCTGAGTCGAAAATTTATCGCCCACAGATCAAACGAAATACGGTGTAGATGCGTGCAAGGCCACACGATTCTGTTGTATTCAATTCGTGATAACATTCGGGCCTATATGGGTAACGTTTACGTGCGACATAAAGTTCGTGACAGTAAATCGTCCGCATTGGGTATAAAAATTGATCGCGAATCTTCGGTACAAGTTTGAGCCTTAACTGTCAAGAATACATGAATAAAAAATTGTAGATCAAGTACTGAAAACGAATTAAATACAGTAGATACATTACATTGCAATTTTGAGAGTTCACCCGAATACAAATTCGTTCCATATCTAGTAATTACTACATACTTTGTTATATTTATACAAGAATCCAAGAATACAAGACATTTATTCTCTCTAAAATGTAGTTAACAATGCAGGTCTTATAATATATAATATTAAATTCTTATATATTATGTGATGCTTTAAAGTTAAATTAAAAAGTAGCATAAACAAAGTACAATATTTGGAATTTAACCAGAAAATAAAAAATCAAAAATATAACACACAGTAGTTAATAGTTAAATTTTACATTTTATGTTATCAAGTAAAAAATCATCAATATTGTAGTGGCATTGAATCACTAACAAATTATGCAATTTCATTTTAAATTGTCTACAATTTAATTCTTTAACAGCATCCGGCAATTTATTAAATAATTTAGGTGCTAATACGAATACCGTTTCACTGTAAAATTCCAAATTAGAGCGTTATACGCGCCGTATGGGCTCTATTTTATCCCTTGTGTTTCTAGGACATCTAGTTTTGACTATATTAAAGTTGCTTAGATTTTGTTCATATAAACACAGGCCTAAATATACATCAATGGTAGTTTTACTTTCTTCAGTTTCCTGAAGTCAATACAACTCCGTCTCTGACCCACACCAAACATGACCCTGACACATTTCTTCTGGGTTTTAAATGCATAATATGTGTTGAAGCAGTAGTTCCCCAGAGTAGTAATCCATTATTTATTGAACTTCATGTTTTACTACCATGGTATTCAATTACTCCCCTAGTTTTTTATAATTATTCATACAAAGATCGAATACAAAGAACTAAACCAAAACAACTAAATTGTTCAACATCTTCCAGCTAACTATTTGTGACAAATGAAACTAAAATTAATTTCAAAATGACGTACAGCATAATTTATAGTAATAAACAATTACCGTCTAAGTTATTCTACGGCTCTATGAATAAATTTAACGCTTAAATCTATTCCAAGTCGTAGACTACCTAAAATAATAAAGCGCTAAAATATTACAAGCAACCCGCGGCGATCAAGAGATTAATTCGTATCGATACAAAATATCGATGCATTTTGAATTGTCTTTATTTATCGATTGTCAAGGCGATAAATTGTTTAATCTAACTTGATAATAACAAAACAACACCTTTGATACTGTAAAATTGAGTCTTCGCGATCAATGCGGTAATCATTTCGTAAATTGCGAAAGTGTTAGTTGTAAAAAGTCAAAATTGCCCACTTATATATTAAAATCACGGAGCAAGCCAGCGTTATTTAATAGTAACTGTGTTTTTATTGCAGCAATTTCTAGGTAGTTGGGCTTTCGTCCTGGGAATGTCGTTCTCGAAATTTTTGTTTTTGCGTTCTCGAGACTCAAGACTGATTTTTTTTTTATAATATCAAATATTAAGCGTTGGAACGAACATGTTGTGCGGCTGGTGGTAAACGGCACGCCTATCCATGACAGTTCAAGTGCCACTCAGAGCTTTAAATCGCAAAGATCTGAGTGGCTACCACTGCGCCCGTCACTCTGAGACATAAGTTGACAAGTACCATGTGCCTGGAATTCCACTGGCACCCTTACCCTTCTAAACCGGAAGGCAGTAATGTACACTTCACGTTGCTGCTTGGTGGCAGAAATAGGGAAAGTGGCAGTACTTCCCTTGACGAACTCTTTCACAAGGAGATCTACTGCTACTAAATCTTCTGAGCGAGCTCGCCCTATGCTCCATCGCTAGATATCCATTCTTACCCTTCAAGCATTTAATATAAAAGAAAAGTTATGGCCATTGACTTACAATTACATGGACGTCGGGTCCGCGCTAAAAAGTGTCCGAACTTATAGGGCGTTAAAATCGTATACAGAGCGTCATTCACGCTTTAGTCTTCGTTTATTCGACTGACAGTGAAGCAAGCAAAATTAGACAGTACTGCGATGACATTACAATTCAAATTCAACGTTTTAGCTTTATCATATTCCTTTACATGTCACTACGTTTAAATAGGTTGACTTGGGACATTTTTTTCGTGGTTTTTGTATTAGACCTTCGTCCATTTAATTGTAAGTCAATGGTTATGGCACATGATGGGACAATTGTTATAAAAACCGGATTTTAAGATTTAACGCTCCTAGACCCAATATTTTAAATATTGTTGTTTTATTCATATTTTACTTAGCGTACGTCACTTAACAATGTGATCCATGAAATGGTGCGCCACAAGGCCGGGACCTAAAGGGCCCAGAGATAAATCCAACCTCTGTCTCTTAGATTTTTTTTAGATAAGTAATTAAATACATACTTTCACAAAATAAAATGATTTCCAAGTATTCAATCTAGACGGTTAATTTCAATTTGTATGCGAATTTATAATCACGACATTTGACATTTATGATGGCTTATCTGAGTTTGAAAACTACGAGACCGTAGCGGTCTCAAGCTTTTAACCCCATTTTCAATTCTCAAGTTATAAAAATGAAACTATAAAAGTAAAAGTCTCACATTCCCTAGATCTTAAATGATAAAAACGCAGGTGCTTTTTGTTAGTAAGAAGTCGAAGGCTATAGTCGTTAAATGGCAGCCATCTTAATTTGCTGACAACGCGCATGCGTTTTATTTTTATTTTCTAATATTAATTTTATAGCTATTTCGGCAATGATTAATAGCGCCATTGTGCCTGTTTTTACAAAGAGTGAGAGCGCTCAAAATATTTAGCTGTTGAGAGTGATTTCCTGTGTAAGTCAGGTTTGGTTATCGTTTTTTATCGTCAAACTGATTAGCACTTCGCACCCGACGAACTTCATTCTGCGTATCCAGTTTCTTTTGATTTATTGAGTATATAGTAGGAAAGCATTTACAAGTGTCCATTTTATAATGAGCTTAAATTTTTTTGTAATACTGATACTGTGTTCATAATAATATAGATGATACAGTTAATAGTCCTAACAAGTAGAATAGATAAAATATTATGGGCAACCGATGGGCAATGACAATGGTATAATTAAAATTCCTGCCTTCATCAAATGTATTTATTTTAAATTAACTTTCCAAAAATCCCCATTTCCACTTAGTTCGTTTGTAAACATTTGCGGCGGTTTATTTAAATATCTAACGCCATGCTGTCAAGTCGCGTTCAGAAACGTCAAACAATTAATTATAGCTGGCCATCGAGAAATTTTATCATGTGTTATCTTTCTGAGCGCGCCTGCGTATCAGAGTCCCGCGGATCATTAAAAAAACTAGTTCGAACTTCGAACGCAGGGACCGGTTCCCGTGTTACATTTTTTCAATTTCTTTTTTATTAAACAATGTCGCATTGGAAGGCTATGTACGAAGCAAGTATAGAGTTAAGTGCAGGGACAAAAAGTCTATCATCATTATTTTTATAGCAGCGGTTATTTTAAACTTTTAATCGTTGCAGCTTGCAGCAAGAATAAGCCGTAAAAAGATTACTGAATTTCTGTTTCATATCTACGACTACTAGAACTTAGAGAACCTTAAAAGCAAGGCGCAATATAAATATACATAAAGCAGAACTACATAGGACCTGTATAGCGTTATTATATTAAAATAAAAACTAAACTCAACGCATTGTCCACTACTGTACATTAAGGACAGGAAGGTTCATAAACATGTTTACTCTGAATTAATACGACCATTTGAATGCTTATTACCGCAAATTAGCATACAAAGCCACAATAACGTTGTACTGTCATCTCAACTCTATCGCAATCAGCTTAATAACGACATTGTTCTTACTTATCACAAAATTAACTACGTAAATGGTTACAATATGTAACTTTTCTTTTTTTTTTTTAGTTTGGAACCTACAGCGGAAGTTGAAGAGATAAATTAATAATTGCTGAAAAATGCATCACTAATTAAACTGAGCTGAAGGCATTGACCTATCGCTGAAGGCTATCATTTAGCTCACAAAGCAAAGACCTGTTCAATAGTCTCCAAATGATCGCCGGATTAGACTTGTGCATAATGAAACGTAACAGAGAGACGCCCATCTCCTAGAATCATTCCTTAATTAGTAATTACCTTCGACTCTGAAAAACCGACTTTTTTAAATTGAATCAATCGCAATATAATTAAATTCATTAGGAACCTCAAATTGTTGATGCGGTCATTGTGCTTGATGGGCTCGGATGAAAACATGTTACATTATTCTATAACAACATCTTGTTTGATTTGAACAATCACTTTTTCAGTGTGCGACATTCGCTGGTGTATGTTACGAGATACGTGAGTCGTATATGTGTGCGTACGTGGCGTACGTCGTCGCTAAAATTATGCAGCTGTTCTTAACAGCAATAAATAAAGTATAAATTAACATGCAAATCTAAAAACTGTTACAAGTGCCAGAATGTTTTATACCTGACTGAAAATTTCTTTTATTGGATAATGAATTTAACAGTGTAAAGGAATTTCTTTCGAAGAAATTGTAATTTCATTTTCATTTGACGTCGTTATATTTCGATAACAATTTGTGTTCATTTCTATTTTTTATTTAATTTTTTGTTAGTTTTACATTAATTATTATTGTCAATATTAGTGACGATCATATTATCACTTGGCATTGTACTATAAATTGTGATATTGTGACTACAAAAAAACTAGGAAGTTC